CTCCTGGTCGCATCCCAATCAGCAATGACGGCGGTGTGGCATGCGCCATGTCAGCAATGTCGAAGACAGCGTGACAAGTGCCACGTCAGCATACAAGAAGACAGCTGGCGCCAGAAGCAGGGAGGCGCTAGCACGCGAATGCAGGAGTCTCGCGTCGTCGTCGCACAATGCCAGCGTAGAGCCAGCGTCTTGCCAGCGTCAGCATCAAGCCAGCGTCGTGCCAGCGTCAAGTCAGCAAGGCAAGACTGAATGTTGACTGCCCGGGGCAGGGTCTTTTTTTTTCTTTTTTTTTTATAGAAAAAACATCCCCTCCGGTGTTAGTGATGCTGGTACAAGCAGCCACCACGAGCACCGGGGGAGAGGCTCCATCTATTAGTGGGGAGCATCACCTGCTGGAAAACGGGTCCAGCGTCCCTTATACAGCATGAACTTAGAATACATCAGGGAAGGGTCAATATGTAGTATAGTTGACGAAGTTGACCTTCCTCCGGTCTCCCACCTACGGAGGCTCAGATTGAATCCCAGCCGACGGCCTGGATCTGGTACAGTTGCAGACCTCCACTTGGACCGAATGCTGCCTGGATACCTGCATACAACCAGGTGTGTGTGTCTGACCGATGGCCTGGGCTGGGTCCATGAAGACTTTGACTCGTGGCCTCGATATTCCGACAGGCACTTGACTTTGGTCAACTTTCGGGCGCAGGGCCTCTGAAGTCACATTTCAGGGGCCCGGTTCTGTGCCCCTTGGTCGGACGGAGGGCCTGAGGGCCGTATTGTGGCCTGCGGGTGGCCCTTAGACGACGACATATGCATATTTGAGCGGGTTATTGCACAGTTCAACTCTGGCATGAAACCAGCTGAGCTATTCGACGGGCAAGAGACAATGGGCTGCTGTCCTTACGTCCTCCAAACTACCGTCTTCCCCCGAACATAATGCACCCTGAAAAGGAAAGTATACAAAGTATGTTTCAGGCCAGATACAGTCAGAATGGGGGTGCATTGTGTTCGGGGGAAGACGGTAGGGTTTCAGGTTAGGGAATTCAAGGTGCTCATGCGTTTGACTCCAGGAGCACTGAGATGAAAGCATCAAGGTCTATCCCTGGTATTTCAAAAAAACCATTTGTATATTCTATATGGGACCCTGGGCCTGGTTCCCAGCACGTGTTGCTCCCCATGAATAGATTGGAGCCTCCGTGGACGAACCTTGCGGAGGAACCCTTAGGTTTTCTGGGCATTGGATTCTCACCAATGTTTGCGTTACTCAAGCCGACGTTCTCGCTTCCGCTTCGTCCACACCTGTTTACACTGATGCTTCTCCCTAGAGCGGAACGCAATGTGTGTCTAGAAGGACCTTTCTCCCAGAATTGAGCCTCCGGGCCCCACTTGTCGGCCCGCAGGTTCAATTTGGGGACAGAATGTTCAATTTAGGGACGAAGTTTAACACCTCATAGGGACTCGCCGCACCACTCGTTAAACGCCAACATTTTGAATGTACCGGGACTACGACAGGGTTCAGATTCATTCCGAATATTGGCTTTTCGTGGGCGGTGCAGCAAGGACATATTTACAGCAATGCACAGTGACATGGATAAGCTTATCATATGACATCATCATCTGATGATGATGATGGTCGTCACCGCAACTGGAAGGCGAAGGACTCAGAGGATTCTTTCGCAATGTTGTGATCAGCCCCTTTGGATCATTTTTTTTGTCAGCTACAGGACTATAATAAGTTAATAAGAGAACTGTGGGCCCTAACTAACTTAATAGCTTAGGGCATAGTACTGACAAAGGGCCATTTTGACTGTATATGTCAGGAGATGAGGTCAGATGCACCCTAGAAAACTCCTAGACTAAGTGCAGGAACATTTGCAGAGTGAAAAAGTGTGGATAGGACTCAATCAGAAGATATTGCAGGTCTCAGACAGAAGAGGGAACTCAGACAGAAAGGAAAAAAAAGAAAAGGACGGACTTCATAAGAAAGTCCGCACCTTTTCTCTTTGTTGTCCAAATCGACTACATCCTACAAAGTCCCCACCTTTTCCCTTTGTTGGCCAAATCAAATACGTCCTACACGGTGCAGCAAGAAAGTCCGTACACTTTTTTTTTTTTTTTTTTTTTTTTTTAAGGGCGATGGCCTTGAGTTATTATCATAGGACTAACCAGCCCAGGTAAATTCAATATTGGTGGCCTTGATTGCCTTCAGGGAACCCCCAACGGGGGACACTGGCCAGGGGACAGCCGGTGGCAGAGGGACCTAGCATCATCATGAGTCGCCAGTCGCTGTGCCTCCCCTATTACCCCTCCCCCTATGAACATCAGCAGAGACTGCTTTTGAATGCCAATTGGGGGGGACCAACGTGCTATCTCTAGGTGGCGGGCGCCAAGCATGCCCAGGAAGGTACATGAGGCCAATGGGGATTGAACCCAAGACCTCCTGAATGCCACTTGCGTGCCTTACCGACTGGGCGCCAAGCATGCCCAGGAAGGTACATGAGGCCAATGGGGATTGAACCCAAGACCTCCTGAATGCCACTTGCGTGCCTTACCAACTGAGTTAGGCAGTGCAAGGGATAATCATTGTTTTTTTTTTTTTGGTTTTTTTCTTTAAGCTCCGATCTATTTGTGGGGTTCCTGTCCAGATTCTACGGATAATTGAACTGGTTGGACTTGAAAAGAAAAATCTGCGCACTGTATCTTTCCAAGAACAAAGAAGCAAGTAACATGTTTTTCTGTTTGCCCAAAGTGGAGTCCCACAAGTGTTGAAGCTCACAGAGGCAAAATTCCAGCTAGGTGGGCTCTGTATTTCCGGTGGATGCTCGTTTTTTGCCTTTTTTAATCCCGTTTCAGGACGACCAATCCAGGCAAGTGGGACCTCAACCCCGGTACGATGTTGAAGCAGCATTATGATAAAGCAGGAAGGGGAATAATAAAAAATGTATTTTTTTTTTTTTTTTTTTTTTTTTAAGGATGTATTTGACCTGGGTTCGACACGTGCTTTGGGGGGGGAGGGGGAGGGGGCGGGGCGGGTAAACTGCGAAGGGTTAGTAATAACATCGCCCCCTCGAGCCTGAGGAGAGACCTCCCACTGGCACACATCCTTGGTTTCCGAGTGTGGATTATGAAGATCAACACCCAGAAGGGAAAATCTGGGTAGAAGGTGGAACCTTTTTTTTTGTGTTTTTTTTCTTTTGGGACAAATGCTCCACTGGCAGTCTATTCGTGGGGAGCAGCACATGTTGGGAACCGGGCCCAGTGTCCCATATAGAATTATACAAGTCATTTGAAATACCAGGGCCATTACCTGGCTTCGGCTAAGAGCAATCTGATAACTTTTTTTTTTTTTTTTTTTTTTTTAAACACGCGCCAGCCAGTGTTAGTGGTGCTGATAAGAGCAGACACCACTAGCACCTGGGGAGAGGCTCCATCTATTGGTGGGGAGCATCACCTGCTGGAAAACGGGTCCAGTGTCATATGAGAGAAACAAATTGTGGGAGATTCCTGCCAGCATTGATTACCCTGGGAACCAGGGGATTGACTGAGCAGGCTATTGGAGGGAGGGGGGAACCTCGTCACCCTGAATCTGTTGCTAGATCCCTGCTGCGATGCCCTGGTTCCTCCACCCCCCTTTTTTTTAACTAAGAATATCTATAGGAATTTAGAAAACCATGAGTCTCCTCTTAGAAGTCCTGATTGCCAGCATTGACTGCCCCATTAGCTGGGGGGTTGACTGTGCAACCAATCTTCCTGATAATCTGTACTATATTTCCAGCGCTGTATCAACATTTTATTGCAAGTGTTGATCAGTCCTGATTGCCAGCATTGACTGCCCCAGTAGCTGGGGGGTTTAACCGTGCAGCCGACCTTCCTGATAGTCTGTCCTAAATTCCCAGCGCTGTACCAACATTTGCTGCCGGAGTGATGTTCAGTCCCCGGAGGGGCACCGGAGACTGAAGTATGCTGCCGCAAGGGTGTATGGATGCTGTGGGGACGGGATAGAAGAAGACGAAGAAGAAGAAGCAAAAATCTGAGAACTATTGAAGGAGTTCAGGAAAATTTAGGAAAAACATGGATAACTGCTGACCAATTGCTAGGCTACTCAAGCAGCAATTATTAAGTCAAAAAGGAGAGCCACAGAAGTCCTTCGAATGCTCAGAACCCCCGGAATCCCTAATAAAGGCCTCTAATATTCTCTAACACTGTCTTATTCCCTGCCGAGCTCTCCCAGGCCTCATGCCCCCACCCTGCTAGGTTACTGGGCAACACGACTCACCCCGGGTCCGGCCAGCGTCGTTCCGACAGCAACCCTTGGTTTTCCCTTGGAATGCCCGCCCCAAGGCATCCCCAGATCTCTCTACCAGGCCTCACGCTCCTGCTATCAACAGGTTACAGGGCAACTCCCCAGCACCGGCCAGCGTCGTTCTGGCATCGAAAAACCGCAAATCCATGAATATAACAACATAAAAGAAGCCTTTTTTTTTTTTCTTTTTTTTTTTTTAACTTNGCGTCGTTCTGGCATCGAAAAACCGCAAATCCATGAATATAACAACATAAAAGAAGCCTTTTTTTTTTTTCTTTTTTTTTTTTTAACTTCGTATACGGGAAACCTACTTAACGAGGTGATAAGAGCATCCCCGGTAAGTAGGTCCCGGTGTCAAAGGCTCCATCTATTGGTGGGGAGCTACACCTGCTGGAAATCAGGTCCAGCGTCCCTGTACAATGATGAGAATGTATCTGCTGGAAATCAGGTCCAGCGTCCCTGTACAGTGATGTGAATGTATCTGCTGGAAATCGGGTCCAGCGTCCCTAGATAGAGATGTGTTGACAGCTCCATCTACCTATGTAATCCATCTGATCTACAGTATCTCTATATATGTACAACAATCCACGGAACCCTAACAAAGATGTGATGTATGTGCGATGTATGTGATGTATGTGATGTATGTGATATACGTGTTCTGTATGTATCAAAATGCAAACATGAAACCCTAACAATGATGTGATGCGTATGATCTTTATCAATCAAGACTAAGCACGAATCTCTATCAGTGATGTAATATGTGTGATCTGGACGTCGAGTCCAGCTTCCTTTATGCAATAACCCGAAACCCTAACAAAGAGATGATGTGTGTGATTCTTATCAATGATGTAATCTGTGTGATCTGGACGGCAAGTGCAGCTTCCATTACCCATTGTCCAAAGAGAGCAGGGGCATTGATTACTTCCCTGCGCAAGGGAAGGATTGACCACCTGCATTCTAGTCCCTAACCAGCCCACCTCCATCCCACGGGGCGATCAGTACCCTGTTGTTGATTGATATTGCGGGTCGGGCAACCCAATCAACATCGACTATCCTACTCCTATCCTCAGCCAGACAACGGGGTTGAAGGAGGGGAAGGGGGGGGAGATGGTAAGCCTCTTATCCGTGTCAACCCCAATCCCCACCACGTCAGCATGCGACATCTCTCCCATCATGCTGCTGCTCTCTGCCCCGCTGGTGCCGTGATCGTCGCTGCCGCCGTCGTCGTCGCTGCCGCCATCATCGTTGTTGTTGTTGTTGGCATCCCCCATCCCCACCACGTCCGCTTGTGGCATCTCTCCCATCATGCTGATGATGATCTGAGATGCCCAGACACCGCTCTCAACACCACTGCTGCCGTGGACGTCGCTGCCGCTGTAGTCGTTGTTATTGTTGTTGTTGTTGTTGTTGTTGTTGCCATGGTTGTCACTGCCGCCATCATCGTCACAGCCGCCATCGTCATTGTTGTTGTTGTTGTTGTTGTCGTTGTTGTTGTTGTAAGCTCCAATTCCCACCGCATCCGCTTCCGGCATCTCTCCCATCATGTTGATGATGACCTGAGATACATGGGCGCCGTTCACCACCTCGCTGCTGCCATGGTCATCGCTGCCATGGTCATCGCTGCCACAGTCATCGCCATTGTTGTTGTTGTTGTCACGTATGTTATCATTGTTATTGTTGTTGTTGTCGCCATCATTTTTGTCAATATCCTTGATGCCGGTGTTATTAATGTTGTTGCTGTTGTTGTTGTTATCCTTGCTATTGTTGGTGTTGTCGCCTCAATTATCTTCGCCGGTCTCGAATCCGCCTTCCCACCAGTCGTCCTTGTCGCCCTTGTCACTCATCTTGCCCGTTCCCTACAGATTCTTCAGCTGATGGTGGAGACTGCGACCCATTATAAAGAGGGTTTTGCAGATGCCCATCTTATCATCCGCCCGCCTCCAGTCGATGTAGGCCTCGAGCCGGGGATCCGGCCCCTCCTCCAGCTCCCACATGATGTCTAGCATCTCCTGGGTCTTGTCTTCCAACGACTACTCCACAGAGATCCCCCCCCCATCGATCTCCCCCCCTCTTGCCACCGCAGCATGAGCACCCCAAGTATAGTCCGCAGTTGCTTGCATTCCTCCCCCAGTATGATAAGCCATTCCGCCGTCGATGTTGTAGCTCCCTCTCCGAATCCATCTCTCTCCCAATACCCGGGACCATTCCAAATAAAATATGAAAAAATGAGGCCGAGAATGATGCCAGATCTTATAGGAGTGATTCATGATCCCCAAGGGTGGTCTGGCATACTGTAATTCAGCCTAAAGATAAAGGTGGGTTGGGTCTTATTGACCCAAAAACCCAATGCAAGGCTTTAGCACTACAAGTATTAAAACACTTGATTCTGGCCACGGACCTGCCATGGCAAGATCTGGCGCTGGAACAAATCCGAAGATTGGCACCACAAACAATTAAGGAGATTCATCCTCTCACCTGGGTGAAGGATAGATTTTGGACCATCCCTCGAGCCCAGATGCAGTCAATGGAACCAGGATCAAGAGGGAAGGCAAGGAAAGACCTAAGTCACAATGGTTTCTGGTCAAACCAACTAAGATATTGGCGGGAATTGCCTTTACCTAACAAGAGAACACCGACAAGGTATGAGGAAATCCTACATCAGCCCTTGTTTGGGAACCGACGGATCACGGACCAAAACGGGAGGGTATTTATTAGCTCAGATTCTCCATGGTCCACGTGGGTAAAGAATGGGGTAATTAGAGTCAAGGATCTATGAAACACTGAACAAAGGAGTTGGAATCTATAGAGATACTCAGAAAAGAAATTAAGTATGCACATAAGCTCCTGGATCGTTTGGATGAAATAATTTCAGCCATACCTCTATCCTGGATAACTTCCTTGAAAGAGGGTGCTGTATTTCGGGTGGCAGATTGGGTGAGAGTGTTCAAACAACACAACTCAACGACAATAGGGCAAAAATTGGATGTACAGGAGGAGGGCGCTCTGATCAACTTATTCAAAATTCACAATGACAATAGGATCTCAAGGAAGGATCAGGATATGGTAACTTATGTCCCTTTCCAATAAATGAATAGAGTAAGGGTACTGTACGTCTCAAAGACCAAGGAATGGGTCGCATATCTTCCTCAGTATCCGATCCCAGACCTCCCAATAGATTCTGTAGACTGGTTATGGCGATCAAACAGGAGATGCAAACCAGTACGGCTACAATCATTATCAGTTAACGCAACTTACAGACTAATGCGCCCTAAAGTTAACATTCTAGAGATGGTGCAAAGTAGATGGCAAAGACACCTGAATATATATGAGGAGGAGATTAAACCAGTCAAGTGGTGCCAGGGATTAAGGGAAAGGTCTGCCAAGTTTGCATCCTTGCAATGGCAGATAGTGCACAGATGGCTACCAACGAAGGACTGGTTAATAGACCATTCCACATTGGAGCAAAAAGGGGTGGCCCTGCCATGGTGTAACTCTTGTGTGAAGGCCTTCCCTAAAAGGAAAATCAGGGAAACAATTGAACACATCTTCTTACAATGCCCAGGTGCGGTCTTGTTATAGAGACGATGGGATTGTGTGTGGAGAAGATTCACTGGCCTAGAGTGGCCCTGGGACTAGAGAGCAATTTTACTAGGATATTAGAACCTTCAATTAATAGATTTATCGGAATTCCAAAGTAACTTCTTTCATCTAGGAAGGAAAGCGATATTGTGGGCTTTATGACACAAACGGTGTATCAATGAAATGGAAGAAGTGAGGATAGAAAGTGAAGAAGTGATAGAAACAATACGAAGCTTTGTCCAAACAGAACAAAGGGGACAACGAGAGAAAAAAAAAAATAAAGCTTAAGGAATTCAAGCAAAAAGAAGACATCCAGCGGCCTAGCTCAGTTGGTAAGGCTCGCAAGTGGCATTCAGGAGGTCATGGGTTCAATCCCTATTGGCCTCATGACCCTCCTGGGCTTACTTGGCACCTGCTACCCAAGAGATAGACCACTGGATCCCCCGATCGGCATCAAGCAGAGTCTGCTATGTTCGTAGGGGAGGGGCCTGAGGGGAGGCACGGGGGATTGGTTCGCTTTATCCCTGGTGCTACCGGGCGTCCCCTGGCCGGTATCCTGCAGGCTCGAGGGCCGTAAAAACACGGCTCTGGTATGCTACAGGTTTCCCCGTATGCCTATAAGTAGGAGTAGTGGTAGGTAGGTAGTGTGAGGAAAAATTGAGAGAAGAGTATAGTCTTTCAAAAAAACAAAAAAAACAAAAAAAAAACAAAAAAAAAAACAAAAAGAAGACGTCAAAAAAGAAATACGGAAGTTCCAACTAGAATGGCTAGGGGATGCAGCTAGAGAGACATTGGGGGAAATAATATGGCCAGGGGAGAAAGAGGAGAAGGGGAGGATCAAATGGGATTACCAGATTATCTTTCAGAATTGGTTAGACATCCAACCAGGGGCCTTTTTGAGAGCACCTGAACTGTTTGTTGATCCCTTCCCACCCGCTCCTTTAGCACTGGTGGATCTTGAGTGGTTTGGAGGAGGGGAGGACATGGCATAAAATTAGGCTGGATAGGGTCCTATTAGGAGGAGGCTAGGTGGTTTGATTCTTCCCAACAGGCGGTCAGATTTCGGACTGAAGAGGCTTCCTTATGACTAGTAATACTCTCCCCTCAAGTATTTGTAGAATGGATTACATCCTATTATTGGATAAAAAATCAGTAAGAATGGGACGCTGGACCCGGTTTCCAGCATAGGGTTATCATCTACATTTTTTCATGATGTAAGGGACGCTGGACCCGGTTTCCAGCATAGGGTTATCATCTACATTTTTTCATGATGTAAGGGACGCTGGACCCGATTTCCAGCAGGTGCAGCTCCCCACCAATAGATGAAGGTTTTTTTTTTTTTTTTTTTTTTTTAAATCTCATAGGAGTGAGTCAGAGAGGTGGGCCACAGGCCCGCACACGACGGGAAAATTGAGGGTGGGCGGGACCACCTCGCCAAAAAGGCGAGGAGAACGTCTTGGAGGGGACCAAGGTGGTAAAATAGGACAGGTTAAATGGAATGGAGTGTACGATACCGCTCACAATGAGCTCCCAAGGAAGTACCACTTACACTTTAATGACTGAAGCAACATTGATCCCTCCATCCCCCTCAGCCCTCTATCTGAATTTCCTGATCCTTTCCCTCCATCCAAGCTGGCTTTAGTCCCTGGTTCATGGTTTTCACAGTATTATGATGGTCTGTGGAATCCAGTCCCATCTCTTGATAAGTAATTTTGGCATGTTAGTACTGCTAGGTGTAATTGYATATCTGGCGTCCGGGTAGGGTGAAGAGGCGCAACAATTTCTAGCATTCCCAGATCTGAAGGGTCGTTGGACCCACTTTTCAACATCAGCCTTGTTGACTGTTCATTATTGATGATGTAAGGGACGCTGGACCCGGTTTCCAGCAGGTGCAGCTCCCCACCAATGGAACGGAGCCATCTTTCAAGAAAAAAAAAAAAAAAAAAAAAAAAACTCCGAAGGACCTGACCCTTGTGTTCCTGCGCAGGTTTGCGTATGCGATGACTTCTGCGAGCGGATGCGGACTGGAGGGCAGTGCTCACGAAACATCACAAGTTGTGGTCATAGGGCAGGCCCCTATGACTTATACTGTCTTAGGCCAAGGCACTGGTACCCCTCGGGCTGGCGAGGCGGTTCTTCAGCATGGGTGAGTGACACTTTTTTTTTTTTTTTTTTTTTTGAAAAAAAACATACCCCCTGCAGTGCTGGTGGTGTTGATAGAAGCAGACACCACTAGCACCCGAGGAGAGGCTCTGTCTATTAGTGGGGAGCATCACCTGCTGGAAAACGGGTCAAGTGTCCCATATATAGAAGGAATACAACACAATCAAGGAGATATCGAGGAAGTTGTCTATAAAGCCTGCCAGCATTGATTGCTCTGGCGTCCAGAGGATTAACTGCGCAGGCTATTTAGAAAGGGAATACCTCTTCACCCTAGCCCTTTTGCCACTTATCCTGCACTATCCTGTATTTCCAAGGCTAGGGCCCCCGGCTGAGTCTTTAGCTGTCTGCATTGACTGCCCCAGAAACCAGTTGTGTCGTAGTTTCTAAGGACATGAATTGTTTTTGTTCCACTGCACCGCTTCCAAGAATGTGTAATCAAGAACAAAAGGTTCGACCCTTTCTCCCTAGAGGGGCACCGGGAAGCAGGGTCATCTTTAGGTGATATCGCATGATCCAAGCAACAGGGATGGAACACAAACTCGGGCCGGGTCACTCAGGAATCTCAGCAAGGGCAAGTGGGTGTGGGGGGAAGGGATCGGGGAAGTCCGTCGGGGGACGTAGAGGGAAGGAAGTTCTATCGTCGTCCAATCATTGAAAAGCAGACGGTAATCCAGTAATTTTATCCTCTCCTGTTGTTGGACCCCTTCCTTTCTACCGCTCCATTCTACTCTAGCTATCCACCCTCCTCCAATCCCTCCTAACCAGTTGGTGCAGAAGGAGGAGATGGCTCGTTCTATGTCCCTCGTCATTTGTAGCTGATCCAGCTTAGTCTTCTCTTCCTGCCATCTACTCTCCATTTGGAGTTGTTGTCAGATTTGGTCAGTTGTCTCTGCTCCCTCCACCCACACCCCCTCAAGCGCCATGGCCCATGGGTGAGTGTCACATCTTCCCGATGGTCCTCCGTTGATTTAGGTGGTTGCTCTGTCCGTCGTGGATGTCTCGAAGTTGTCCTGATGGTTGTGGTTGCTTCGTAGCGAGGTCGTAGTCTCGTAGATGTTGACAGTCAATGGTTGCGAATGTAACTCCCGGTTTCAAACATTTGGAACCATTTCCGCTTGTCATACCAACCCATGATAACCGCCCGGAAGGGTTGTTGGAACTATTTGCAATTGTGGTTGCTGTCGTTGGTGTAATGTTACCCAGGACCATTCCAAATAAAATATGAAAAAATGAGGCCGAGAATGATGCCAGATCTCATAGGAGTGAGTCAGAGATGTGGGCCACAGGCCCGCACACCTCCTAGACCGTCCCAAATTCCTCCATCGTCCTGCAAGTGACTGCGTCGTCTTGTAGGGAAGGTGGAACAAGCGAATGAGCAATGACAAGCGAATGAGCGATGACAGTTGGAGGCAGAAACGAGCGACTCCTGCGGTTGAAGGAAGGTACTCTGCTGGTCTTGAGTGGAGTAGTGTAATCATCAGTGAGTTTGGAGTCGGAAAACGATGGAAGAATGGAATGAAGAAGATGTTGTTTGCTCTGAACAAGTGGCTTGACTGCAGCGAAGTCGGGAGAAGTTGCATGACGTGTTGTGATCTTGATGTATTGTTTTTCATCAGTAGTCAGTGGCTTGTTGAGATCGAGGGTCAATGTCGAACTTCTGACGCTGAAGGGTTTCCGATGGTGTCGTCGTCAACAGTTGATGTCGTGGTGAATTGCTTAAGTGGTTGCTTTCGCCTGTTAGGTAGAGATGGGGAGGATGATCCTTGTCAAAGTAGTAGGGTTAAGGTCTTTAGGAAGCCGTATCGGGAGTATAGCCTTCAGAGAGGGGTAGTTGAGGAATCAGCTCGGTCGATGCAATGGACGAAACTGAGAGTGGTGCTGAGTTATATAAGGGAGAGAGTGAAGGTTATGAAAGGTTACACTGAGGCATAAGCGTATCGTGATGGGGGTTCGTTTTTATATTTGTGGGAAAATTGGCAGCGGTGTGGGGAGGGATTGAAGCTACATTACAGGGAAATAGACTTTGAGCGAGGGGTGGTGCGGCCTGGGTATACAAAGACTGATCATCATGGAATAAGATTTGTGATAAGATTGCGGGATCCTAAGAGTGAGGAGGAAACGTTCATGGGTTGGTTGCCTGAAATGTTGGCCAATTATGAGCGCGTAGGCCAATTTACAGAATGGATATATCTTCCGCCCTGTGCGAGGAAATGGACCATTAAGTGGGGGTGGGTTTAATAAACGAATAGAGAAATAATTTGTAGCGGCTGGGGTGTTTGAGGGGGAAAGTGGTCATAGCTTTCGCATAGGAGGGGTGCATGCTGGGATTGAGGTGGGTTGGAGTTTGGGAGAGATGATGTGGCAGGGCACATGGAGTCAAGTACAGACATTCATGTGTTATGGTTATGGAATGAGACGCGGGTGGAAACGTGCAAATGAAGGGCAATTAAAGGGAGATGAAGATTGTCGTCAAGCCGAGAATTGCAGGGTTGGTAACGAGATTACTAACTCTGGGGCTGGGGAGGCAGGAGAAGATGAAAGTAGGGATGATGAAACGCTTGATGATGTTGAGGGTGAGGATGCGGGGGTACCAAAAGGTTTTTTGTGATGAGGGTAGGATGAGAAGATATAGGGCGGTGCTTGCATTGATCTTAGATAGGATTTGATGAAGGAGTATGGCAGGAGGAAATATATATCTGTAAGGTTGCTAGGGAAGAGAGTTTCAATCAAGGGAGAGGGTGTTTATTAGGGCTGGTTTGACTGACCAATCCCTTGAGATGAAGGAAGGGCATACATTGTGGAAGTCAGAGGCAAATAGCCATATATATATCTGTAAGGCTGCTAGGGAAGGGAGTTCCTAATTTAGAGAAGATATCGTTCTTTAAATGGTTGACAAAACCTCAATCAGTATTATCTTATGTGTTAGATAATAAGTCTGTGAATGTATTAAGAGACCTGGGAATCCATATTGGGGGAAGGATTGCATCAAAGGTTACGAGGAAGAAGGCTACGTCCCTTAACCACGAGTTGAAGGATTGGTCTGTGAATTTCATTTTGGAAAGGCTTGGCTATCTGAGTGAAGCCTGATAAAAGCTGATGAGACGAGGTGAGGTTGTGAAATAGTCAATAAGCGAAAGGTTTCTAGTATCACAAAAAATTCTCTATGAGTGGAGGAGGATTGGAGAAGACACTGGGGAAGACATTGGTGAAATGAGATAGGTTTACTGCTGGTAAGATAAATAATAACAACGATTTGAAGAGTTGATGCATCGGTAAAAATTGTAACTGTTGGGGAACGAATAATCCAAAGTTTTCCCGGGAGGTGAGGTAAGTGATGAATCCACCGGAAAAGATCGTTCATAAGGTCAGAGGAGATGGAAATGGGGGAGTCCTAATTGGCTGGAGAGATGATTTTGTAAAAAGATGAGATATATAAATGGGTAGATAAGAAAACTCTTGAGAGTGAAGCGAGCTTTCCTGCAAGCTTTGCAATAGATCTACTGGAATTGTGAGAGTTTGTGGTGAGAATGAGGTTGAGCATCTTTGTGACTTTGTACTTGGGGTACCTTAATACACTTATCATGAGAGTCGGTGTTAAAACCAAGGAAATTGATACATTGTGAAGGGAGAAAGGAACATTTGTGGAGGCTGAGGAAAAAAACAAGGTTGCGAAGGAGGGTTGCGTAATTGAAGGTTTGTCATATGAGAGTTGGGAGGTCCTTGTGGCCAAGGGCAGAGTCGTTTATATATGAGGCAATATGAATTTTTCTGAGGCGAATTTCAGCCATCACTTCCTGCATTATAGTTGTGAAGATCCAGCATGCAGATGAGATGCCGAAGCAAAGGGTTGTGAAGTGGTAGTTGAGACCATTCAATTGAAAAACAAGACAAGTATGGAATAGGGGGTGAATAGGGATATGGTAATAATCATTCTTGATGTCGAAACATGTGAGAAAATCTTGAGTAGGGGATACAGAGAGATGAAATATCAGGTCATCAATTGATTCATAGTGAAAATCTGGGAAAGTAACAAAGAGATTGATAAAGCGTACGTCCAGAATAAACCTTGTTTTTGATGAACTTTCTACTGCGAAAACGGGGTTGATGACAATGGGGTTTGAAAAAAGTTCTATAACTCTAGAGGTTAGGAGTTGAGAGATTGTTGATGTGATGAAGTCTTAGTGATGGGGTGGGTTGTTGTGATTGGGTATGTGGAGTGGAAGAGGAGAGACGCAATGCAAGACTCTTTTAAAAGGAGAGGCAGGAAACACATTTTTCACCATGCGATGTACTTCTACGATCTTGGAGGTGGGTATGTGCGATGAGTCAACAAACTTGATTCTGACACCATGCTGAATCCACTGAAGAACGGAGTGTGAGAATCTTCTGGAGCTTGAGGAAAGGAGTAATGACAAATTTGAGAAATGACGAGATGGTGATGTGACGAAGAAGTTTTATGGGTTACGGAGCCAGGATTATGGCTCCTGAAGGGCAAAATGGCAGTGCGAAGGTCTTGGGTGGGAAAAAATATTATTAAGTATGGTGGGGATAGAGAGGACAGTGAAAGGGAAGTTATCCGGATGATCAGGGTGCACTCTTAGAGGAGGAACGGGATTGGTCATGGTGCTTGTTGTCTGGATCAATGAACTTCAAGGATCTCTTAGAAGCACGAAAGTAGCCGTAGTCCCGGTCCTTGTCTTCGTCGTAGTGGCGCTTGGAGGAGTAGCTCTTCTTGGAGTTGTCTGCTGTAGAATAGTCTTCCTTCTACTGATATGAAGATGAGTCGGATTCCGATATTCCCAACCTGCATGCATGATAAAAAGATAAGAGATAAACCCTTGAACGCAAATGGCGTGGACTTATTAACAGTCCAGGGCGATAAATAGATAGGTCGGGCGACAACCCTTTGCTTACCTGTGTGCATCTCGGCGGACAATGCTCATGATGCAGTAGTTAAACTCGGAGTTGATCAGAGGAAAGACCTTGTCCATGCCCTCTCTCGTGACCCTTGTTAGAAAATGATTGAGTTCCTTCGGGATCCTGGAATCAAGGCAATCCTTGGCAATGGAGGCGACTCTTGAACAAAAATATGAAGCCACCGACTTTCCAATAGGATAGTAAGAGTAATTCATGTTGACTGTCAAAAATCGGGTGTAGGCCTCAATCTGTGAATAATAGCATAACAAGACAAACAACTTCTTCCAAGCACATAGTTCTTCGTATGCTGGCTGAGACTTACCATTGAGTTTGCCCAGAATGGCATCCATCCCTGATTGAATCTTCTGATAAAGTTGAGTAAGAGTCTCGTTCTCCTCATCACGCTTGAGTAGTTCACTCTGGAGCTTCTGAATGGAGAGCCAATTCTCCTCTGCTTTAAGAAGTAACAGTTGCTTCAATTGTTCGAATGCTTCGATAGTGATGGGGGGGGGGTAGGCGAGATGAGGAGGAGGATGGGTTAGAGGAGTTGAGAAGGGGGGGAGGGCTCAATCTGGTAAGAGGGGGTGGAGAGGTGGGTAGAGGTGGTTGAGGGGGTGGGGGATGGACTGGGTTCTTCATCTTTATTGCAAGGGTGTGCACTCTGTGGAGTTGGTTCGTATTATCAGGTTGAATGGTAAAGAGGAGGTCAGAAATATCATGAGCAAGAGGATTGACATAGTCAATGAACTTTGCTGGTGAGAAGGCAGGGGGTAGTAAGGGAAGCACGACATAAACTTTTGCTCCAATGACAGACTGGGGGCTAGAGACTACTAGGAATGTCTTGAGCCAATGATCCATCTGCACAATTTTAAAATATTAAAGAATCAAAATTGCGCTCTTGTGGTTACTATTAATTTATGAATCCCACCTCGCCCTTTTTTTTTTTTTTTTTGGGGGGGGGGGGGGGGG